AATTAAAAGGACAAAATTCGAAGATGTGGTCGGCTGTGTATTAGTCCTAAGCGTATACTATATATTTCCAAAGTTATTTATTGCGAAATTTCCAGGCTGTTCAAGTATAGAATTTTAAAAGGACATTTTCAATAGCTAATTTAAAGATTTTTTTTTTTTTAATTTGATACCCATACGTAGTGTTTTCCACATTGCACAGAATTTTTTAATTAATTTTTTGAAGTAATAAAATTTTACAAAAACCAAAGCCCTTTAAAAAAACCTGGCACCAGAGGGAAAAACTGAAAATTCATTCGACCCATGGCTTCGCGAATATATTGATTTTTTGTGTGTGTAAAATTTACTGTCGCACGGTGTTATATGTAAGTCATCGATTCGATTGAAGATCGAGATTCCATATAATGTTTGGCTCTGCTGAAATATTGTGGCAAATTTAATACTGCAATTACTATTTTCGACACATTTCTTAAAAGTCAGTATCCTCAAAGCGATGGAAGTGAGTGGAAGATCGTCATATCTCGGCAGTCAGTTCAGAATTTTGGTTGAAGAACGCACTATCTCAGAATTCCGTGCTCTATATCAAACGAAAATACATTGAAAATGTGCTGAGATACGGCATTTTGAAACCGAATTCTGAGATAGGGCGTTGTTGAAAAATTTTCTGATATTGAGCGTTTTCGAACTGGCTGTCGAGATAGGTCGATCTTCCACTCAGTCATCGAAATGAAATTGTTTCTCATCTCCAAGTCCAAATATACAAAATATTACAGTTTAATATTAGATTCAACTAAATACTATATATCGCTAACTTAGAGTGAAAACTCTAACATCGTTACGAATGAAACGCAAATTTGCTAACTCCAAAAGAGGCACCGAAAATCCGATAAAACCAAAATAATACGAAATATTTTAATAAAGATCGATTCCTTCTTATTCGTATGGAGTTCCTCTTTGCTTTAAATATGCAAAATGTTAAAGTTTTTTCCTCTCCTGTAACATTAAAAAGAAATTGGGCTTGGCAACTTTGCACTCTAAGCTAGCGGAATGTATTTCGTTGCGGGTGTACGGCATATGTGGAACATAAGCTTAAAATAATTCGATTTGTTGAAGGCAATCAAAATTCACTATGTACTTACTTATTCATTTCATTTTCTTGATTGTCAAATCCGCAGAAAGAGCCACGTGATCATATAGGTTGTTGGCTCTTTGATCAGAGGACAGCGAAGCGGCTTAGTGGATTATGGATGCCGGTGTTGCCGGAGGTTGAGGTTTGTAACAGAAGGACGGCCACATCTAATTTATAATGACTGCCTAAAAATATTATGAAATATTATTTCCAAAAATTCAAGATTAATTAATCTCTATAGGCTACTTTTTATAGTAAAGTTAAAAGCTTTTGATACTTAGAATAGCATTTCGAAACAAAAATTGAGTACGTAAAATGACACTAAAGATGGCACAACGCCGAAATTGGTTTGTCTTCAAACCAAATTTCACAAGGGAGGACAAAAGATCGTTCCATTATCCTTACTAATTTTATAAATGCGAGAGTGGATTTGTTTGTCACGCTTTCACGCTTTAACTACTCAACCGATCATCATACAATGTTGCGCACTGTTGTCATTTAGGCCAGCATAAAATATAGGGTGGCTTTTATGTCGATTACATAAAAAGACGTGGCACTTCCCATGCAACCGGAATTTTGCATCCGGTATATCTATGAAAGTACGTACTTGAGGTAGAGTATTGGAATAAAATCAATACCATACCAATGGAGAAAAATTGGCGTTATTGGAGAAGGGGGCCTGACATTTCCCATACAAATTTTAATTAGCGAAATTAGGTATATGTTATAACAATGTAGCTGTCAGACGAAAAAGGTTTAAAAAGGGTGCAGTTTGAAAATATTTTTAAGAGGGTTGCCACCTGTTTGAAAAGTGTAATTTGAATAAATTGTACACAAGTTTTATGCAATTTTAAAACGGCAGAGTATTAGAAAATGGTTTGCTTAAACATTTAGTATATTTTTTAGGGGGTTGGGGACCATTTGTCAAAATAATAAATTAATTTCAAATAATTTGTTAAGTTAAATGAACTATTACAATATGGTCACCAATCTGAATACATTAGACTGCACCACCAAAAAAAAAATTGCGGTTTTTCCGCCGGGATTACAAAAGCTATTTTTATCTATATTATCTATTTAATCTATATTTTAAAACGTCCGCCAAAATGTTTCGGAAAAATATTAAGATTTAAATGAGCTGGACCGTTTTGAAAGTACCTCCAAAAGTGGGAGTTTTTTATGAATAAAAATAATTTCTTTAAAAACTTTTTGAAAAAAAATCTGCATAATAATATTTAAAAATATTTAATGAGATTTTTGATGCTGTTTTTTTTTACTTTTTTTCAAAGATTGATTTACGAAAATTTTGAATAACTGGGCCAAAACTATTCTGATATAGACGTATGGGATCGCAGTAGAAAGGTATTTTTCCACTGTTTTTAGTTTTGCACAAAAAAAGTCATTCGTGTCCCAATTTTTTTTTTCCAAATACCAACACATCTTAATTCAACTTTGAATGACGTTCGTTCATCCTACCTTTCTCTTTCATCATTTGAATGAGTTTATTAGCAAAGAAATAAAAACGGCGAGAAAGTACCTTTCCAATGACACCTCACAAGTCTAAATCGGAAGAATTTGGGATCAGTTATTCAAGTTTTTCTTATACCAATCATAGAAAAATAAGTTTAAAAAAACAGCATCAAAAATCCGATTATTACGATTACGTTCAAAATTTTTAAAATTTTTTTTTAATATTTTTATGCAAATTTTTCAAGCTTAAACCGTTTTCTAATTTGAGGGGATTAAAAAAAAATCTTTTAGAAACTATTTTTATTTATAAAAACTCCATTTTCGGAGGTATTTTCAAATCGCTCCAGCTCACGTAAATCTTCATAATTTTCCGAAATGTTTTGGTGGGCGTCTTAAAATATATTAGATTTTATAATTCCAATGGATCACAGTACCGATTTTTTTTTGTATGGGGAGTGATGCAGTCTCGAATATATATGTATTTAATAGGGTTCCTTGTGACTGAACGTAACTCGAACATTGCGAAAAGCTCTTTCAATGCAAATTTTTGATCTAGAGTGAGTTCTACTTCTTCGTTAGCACCCTTGAGATCACTCTTAGCTCTTCCGTAAAAACATCGCCAGTATTTTTGCTATTCTCTCTGTGAGAATTATTTAGATGACCAATAGCTCGTTTCTGTAACTCTACCGATTATTTCTCTACTGGTAGAGAGCATACGTCATTCTCTACTTCTCATTAGCCGTAGAGAACAGAGAATTCATATCGCCTTGGTAGAGAATTGTTACAGAAACGAGCTACTTGTAGATACGATTTTCTAATTCCTGCTTAATTGATTACCGAAAGGATTTCTAAGCACGGCATAGTATAAAATTATTAAAATCTACACTGTTCACTAAGTTAAACCAGTTAAGTAGCCACCAGGCTTAACTAACCTACATAATTATACACAAGGTCAAAGTTCAGCTGAGAGATTTGGAACGTTCTACTTATTCAACATAGGGCCAATTTCACAATGCGTAGTTAACTCAGAATCGGGAGTTAACTACAGAATTTTGTACTGAAAATCTCTAGTTAACTGTCGATTCTGAGTTAACTACGCACTGTGAAATTGGCCCATAAATGATTGCGAAAGATTGGTAAGATAGCTTATTACGCTCCATTGAAAGCTTCAAAGCGGGATGCATTTCCCTCTCGATTCTTTAAGCATGCTGCTGGTAAGCTTATTTTAATTTGATTTCAACAAAAATCTATTTACTTTTTCGCAACATAATTTTGCCTCCCAATTCGAAAATCCACATAAGAGGTACATTTATATTTCTTTGGAGTAAGCAAGCTTTTCAAACTGAAAGTTGTATTCAAATTGGTATTCGCCCGGCTAAGGATGGGTGCCATTTACACATTTTGCGAAACTTTACAACTTAAAAGTACTTACGCTACTTAAGATATTATACACTTTTCGAAGGTAAGCACGAGTGCAACACCGCAAAATGCTATTTTTATTTGCATTCAGGTGCCGCACCATTTTCGTGTACTTACAAAAACTTTTCCTGCAATTAAATATGTATGCATATTAGGATGGGTCTTAGTTTATCGATTTAACATGAACTTTGTAGTTTACCTCTTTTCGCCGAAAATTGTATATACATATATCCCGATAGTGTACCCTACTCTAAGTAGGTGAAAACAGTATTTAATTTCATCCTAAATTTCGTATGAATTTTTTGACATTTTTCAAAAGTTGCCTTATTTCAGCCACCCTAATACACATAGCAAATATATTTATAAATATCTGCATGTGCTTATGTATGTGAGTTTTTATTTTAATTTATTTTTTCAACTGATTCCAAAATCAACAATTTCTATGCAGTGGAAGAGGCTGAAGGCAGAAAATGAAGAAGACGACAGAGAGTGAAGTAGTGAAAGAATATCTAAACATCCACAGACAACAGATAAATACGCTTAAGCACTTAAGTAAGCACACATGGCAGCTTGTAATGGGCAACAAGCAACATTCTAAGTGCATGGGTGTGGCTAAAAGAGTGCGAGGCGTGGCTGTACAATACAAGAGGAGCGCATATGGTGTCTGTGTGTGTGATAAATATGTATGTATTTCTGCATCAAGTGGTCATGCCGTGCATTTGTGTGAATGCTTACTGGGTTCCTGCGTGTGTATGCCACTGTCAGTGCAACAAATTGAGACGCAGCGTGAATGCAAGGAAAAGTTTGGAGTGGTTTTCCTATATTGTGTAACTACAAGCACTTTTTACTTATTTAGTTTTTTCGTTTTTTCTTCGTATTTTTGTTTTAATTTTCACTTGTGCATATCCATTTTGTGTGTGTGTTTCTGAGTGCACTAAAATTGCCTGTTAACTTATTTTTTTTTTTGCTTTTGTTTCAATTGCAGATTCAATGAGAAGAGGAAATTTAACCAGAAGCAAAACACAAACTGGAAACAGCAGTGGCAATTCAGTTCCTTGTGCAAACGCATATACGGTTTGGTAAAGTGGCAGAGTGTGTGCTGCAGACCTTGCGTCACAGAGGAAGTGTACGAGGGGATGTACAGGGTGTGTAGACGACACACAATGGCGGTGTAAATAAGTAAATAAGGAAAGTTAAGAAAACAGCAAAAAAAAAACCAAATTGTTGCAACAAAACTAGGACAAAGGCGGATTAAGTTTGCGTATGCCAGCCCATTTCTCATGGATAGCGTGTAGGGACTAAGCGCAGATTGTGGCAGATAACTGATGCGCCAGGCAGCGAAGTGAAACAAGGCAGTTGTAGTGTTTTTGTGGCAACAGCAAAACGCATAAAATTTACATACATATCTACATATGTATATATGTTTCAGGCAACATGCTACATGCAGTCGGAACACAGTGAAATACGTAAGGCATACGAGCAGTTGTTTACGGGTTGCTGAATTAGACTGACTTTTTAAGAGAAATTCCGAACGCAGGCACATAAAGCGACAAACACATGTATACATGTATTTTTTTTTCATTTCACCTCATTTGACATGTAGCACATTGGACAGTTGCAGCAACAGCTAAAACGGCAGTTACGTGCCTGGCCTAAACAGATTTAATACTGCAGCGTCTAAAACGGCAAAAAATAAATAAGAAAAATCAAATCAAATAAAAGCACCAAACGGCGGAGTGAAATCGCTGGCGGTAGAGATAAAAGCGGGAAGTCAAAAGCCGTAAGTCAAAAGGCGAAAAGCAAAAAGCTAAAAAAAAGTCACAGTGAAAGCGCAATCAGCGAGCCACTAAGCCAACAAGTGATTTCCTATTGCATGTGGTGCAAGGGTTGTTTGCCTGACAGCCATTGCTGGCTTACTATAACCGCCGAAGGGCATCCCATCTGAGCAAACACGACAACAGCTTGCCAGTCCGTCAGCAATCAGTTAGCAGTGCTAGTAACAGGTTAAATTGTTGTGATTCGTTGCGCACTGAAAAAGCAATTTGGGAACAGAGCGCCAGAGTGGTGTGGTGCAGGCGTACGCAGGCGTCTCTTATGCACTGAGGCATTCGCGCGTGAGTGCTTGACCTGATAGAGCCACAGCTGAGCTGGGCCGCGTTGTGTAGTGACGTCATTCAATTTGCTGGTGAGAGTCTCGCAATTGCGAAGGGCCAAACGTCGGCCTAGTTTTAGAGCAGCAAACGCAGTCGCGTCGGCTTCCGTATCGTTGTGACGCAAAGCATCGTGGTGCGTCGCGTAGCGTCGCGTTTCGGGTCGATTCAATTGAAGTTTACTTCGAACAACATTTTGATGTATGTGTGTGCGTCCGATAATAAAAAATAACTCTAACTTCCATGCCAAACCGGCAGTTAGTGCGTGTGTGTGCGTGTTTTTAAATATAAGCACATAGCCAGGTCAGGCAGTGAAGTGGTGCCAACAAGCCAATTGAAACACGCAGGCGTTCAATCAGCTGAGTGTACTGAATTTCCCCCCAGCTAACTAGTTAGTTAGTCAGTCGGTCGGTTCGTTTAGACGCGTACGCGCACGCTTTGTCGTTGTCGCTTTGCATTTTGCGCTTCGTTGCATTTCCCCCCACAACGACGATTAGCATGGCTCGAGCATCGTCCTTGCCCTCAGTTTCGCCGATGGCGCTACTAAAGTATTGCGGCCTCGCGTCATCGTCGCCTGTGCTGAGCGGTGATATCGGTCGTGGTCTATTCGCCATTGTTGTTCTACTGTTGCGTATGTCCTCCGTCTATGGCGTCATCGATCGGCTGGTGGTGCAAACGTCGAGCGGGCCGGTGCGCGGCCGCTCAGTCACTGTGCAGGGTCGGGAGGTGCATGTGTACACAGGCATACCCTATGCCAAGCCACCGTTAGATGAATTACGATTTCGCAAACCGGTGCCAGCGGAACCCTGGCATGGTGTGTTGGATGCAACGCGCCTGCCGGCAACTTGTGTGCAGGAAAGGTGAGTACAAATATGAACTAAAGCCACACAATTTTGCACTTTCATGACAGTTTACAAATTAATGGGATACAAGAATAGATGGGGGGAATGTGCGGTTAAGTCATGTTGAGCTAAGTAAAACCAAGCGAAAATATCCTAAACGCAATATGAATAGAACGCATAGATTACTTTGAAATGGACGCAATATTGCCAACATGTTAAGGCATTATTAATGACGAACCCGCACGAGCAACCCTGCAGCAATTCAGACTCACCCTAGGTCAGCCCTCAGATAGTCCCTATTGTTACCAGCACTAGTCCCTCATAATTCCCCTGCCAATGGTTGCAACTGCCATTTTTAGCATTGGGATGTCATTGGAAAAGGACCGGTCCACTCAACAGTGACTGTAAGATAGTCCTGGACTAGTCCAATTCTTTTTCGTTGGAACACGATTGCGTTCTGCACTTCACAGATGCTTTTTCGTATTGCGTAAAACCAAAAAAAAATTATTTTTTTCATTTTATAACCATGTTGCTTCTGTCGGCATTTGAACTCAGACCCTCCTGAAAGCTAACAAATAGTGGCAAGCATTACTGCGCACTGAGCTACAGCCACGCATGTAAATGTGTGTCCAAATGTCCAAATGTTAATCAAGGCCAGACGAAGCGATTGGGGCATTTGCAGAGTGGTAAGACAACACCACCCTGTCACTGCCAAACTGTACTTTTCGTCTATCTCTACCACCGATTCCTTGGGGACTGGTCGAAAGATGACACTTTCGATGCAATCAAATGTCCAATTCTGACCAGTAAACTTTTAACCAGCCAAATACTAGTCTTTTACGGAAAATTGGCCGCCTTATTGCTGCAGGGAAATGCAGGTATGACTACACACAAAAACAAACACATATATGCACTTAAGTAACCAAATTTCTTTGAGATCGTTCTTTGCCGTGTTTATGTTGGCGTTGGAAGCTTAATTAATTTATATTTGGCCATTATTCATTTCTTCAAGGGAGCTTTCAGTACAAGAGAGTTTTCTTCTTAATTTGTTTAGTACATGAATGTGCATATATATAGATACGTGTTAAAGTCGAACGTAACTATGCTAGTTAAAAAAGCGCAAAACCTCATCAGTTACTGCGCTGCACTTAAATTTGAATTGATCTTCATACAATTTTCTCCTCATGGGCTTTCATGATGTTCATTAATTAATTACAAAGAATTGGGTGATAAATTTTACAACAAATAAACATCAAAAAATAGGGAACAAATGTTCATTAGCGTGGTTCAAAATAAGTTAAGTCGGAATTTTAATGCTCCCACCTCTAGGATTGTTCTATATCGAAAAAAAAAATATACGTATTTTTTTTTTGAAATCAAAAAATATTTAGAGGTCGCTCAAAGCACTTAAAGTTTTCCATGTATTTTGTATGGGAAAAACAACTTTTCGTAGAAATGGCATAGAATTCTTGAAACTTAATATTTTTCGATTGGAAATCTCTGGTTCTCTTCAGGGCACGTCCTATCACGATACCCAATTGCTTACGTAATTATTTTTTACTAAAGATTTTTTATTTATATCCCATTGCATTTGCTGGGGGTTTTGTGGACCTATGAAAAAATGGTTAAATAAATAATTGGACATTATTATTGGGAATCTCTTGAAGAGAAACATAGCGACCTCTAAATATTTTTTGATAACAAAATAGGTGTATGCTTTTTTTCGGTATGGAACAATCCTAGGGGGTAAGAGCATACAAATTCGGACTTTGCTTTTTCACATGCATTTTTGGACCACCCCAATGTACATACACATGCATACATGAAGTAAGTACTAGGGATAGGTAGTGGTGACTTGAAATTCGACTTTTCCCGAATTTAGAATATTGCCGAACCATTTGATTCGAAATTTGGTGGTGCAAATTCGATTTAATTTGAATTTTTTCGAGTTTTCAACATATTTTTATGTAACTGATAATTTTAATGAAAACTTATTTGACACCAAATGAACAGCTGCTAGTTGGGGCAGTTTTTGATGCCATTAATTTTTACATAATGAAAAACAAGGATTATATACAGTTTTTAGATTATAAAGTATCTGAAATCTTATGAATTTGTTTGTAAATCTCCGACGCGTAACTACTTAAGTAAATCAATAAATATATTTCGCTGAGTTAATTCTTAAACTTTTATCCAATTTTATTGTATATTTTTAATTCATTCGATGCACCGAAAATATGGATTTTTATATACGATACATCGATATGCATCGATGCAATATTTTGATGCATCAGATCGAAAAAACATCGATGTGTATATTTGACTTGCATCCCTAAGGCAAATGTCAGATCCCTTTACGTATTATGATTTTTGAAGAAGTTGTGAGCACAGGGAATATTCTCGTGGGCAGCTTAGGTAATTTGTCACTAAAGGGGCATTGTAGATTCGTCAAAAGGTCGGAGTAATTTAAGTTTTTAGAGAAATTGTTTTTCCCTAGTAACTTTTAAGCAAAAATACAGCCGACTTTAATACTAATTTAAAAATATAAGATCCCCGTTAATTCCTTCATAATCCTATGATCGGAACTACACCAAATCAGTATAGGTCCCACTTCAGATACCAGCTTTCCTATAAAGAATGACATTTCAGAAAAGGTTGACGTGGTGCAAAATTATCGGGTTACATTAAAAATTTAAAAAGGAAACAAAAAAAATATTTTGATGAATTGATAAGCTTTCTTCTTTTTTGAAGCCAGTTAAAAAACGTACCTGTATGAGTACAAGCTAGTTAACAAATACGACTACCTCAAAACCATGGACCGTAAATAACAGTTATTGAAGAAAACTGTCATTGAAAAATTCACTATGAAGCAAATATTCTACAACTAAGTAATTCATATCAATCGATTTCTTTCTTCACCGATAATCAAATTTGGAAAAAAATCTTTATTTGTAATTTTTATGCAAAACTAAAAACAAAAAACATTGTTTTTTATTCCTATTTTACAAATCTAAAATAACAATTATTTTTAATTTTTATACAAATACCCTGCAGATAACAATTATTTTTGATTTTTATATTATATGTTTCAGATAACAGTTATTGAAGACTTTTATTTATAAAATTCATCAATAAAAATCAATCACCGACTTTTATTATTTTTAATCATACGTATAAAAGTCATTAAGAAGGTGTCGGAGAACCAAAATTTACTAAGACTTATGCAAATGACTATTATAAGTATGATATGAAAAATAAAGATCTGTGACTGATTTGTATTTATGACTTCTATAAATAAAAGTCTTCGATAACTGTTATCTAAGACATATAATTTAAAAGTCAAAAATAACTGTTTTTGCAGATTATTTGGATAAAAATCAAATATAATTGTTATTGTGGATTTATAAAACAAAAATCAGCAAAAACTGTTATTTAAGGAGTAATTAAATAAAAAAAAAAAATTGTTATAGAGGATTTGTTTAATAAAAGTTGTAACTGTTACGGTCCCTGCTCAAAACAAATCCATGTCTGGTTTCAGATTGCCACCCTTCCTTCCATTGTGTCTCCTATAAACCACTCAACTGCCTTTCGTCCCATCGTGTACCTCCCCATAACGCTCAGTCTCGCGATTTTCTTCTATGAACTCATGGCTCCCCTATTCGCTCCTACCGTCCTTTGCTGTTCATGGCCATGGCTTTCGTCCGCCCAACCGCTTGTCCGCCTTTTTCCAAGCCAAATGAATCACATTACAGGTTTCACTATATTACTTGAATTGATTGCCATTCCCAGCTCCACATCATTGGAAAAATCTCGCTCTATCAATAAGCATAATCGTTCGCCTGTAACGTAAATTTTTCGAAATATTTTGGCTGCAGTCTTAAGATATAGTATGCAGGGGCGGTAAATAGTCATTATTTTGGAAAAAAAAAATAAAAATAACATGTTGTAAGCGTCGTAAAACAATTTTAACTACACTCACATATTTGTATTACATAGTACTTTATACGGTAATTTACTATGATTTTTATTTTTCGAGTTTAACCAGTACCAATAATAATAACTATTCGAGTTTTTTTTTCGTTCGAAAGAAATGTCGCTGTGACCCGGAACCCGAATGAGCCTTACACAGAAGTATTCCGACGCTCTAAGTTAGATCGCACCTCCCATGCACTTACACTTAGCTGTCGACAGGCACTGCGTTCAGCATTACGTTAAGTGCCAATGTGAGGGTGGTCCATTACGTACCAATAATACCAAACACTGCAGCCCGTTGCGCGTACTTCAACTGCTTAGCTAGTGTAGCCACCAGACTAGGGATCCATAAAACAGTAAAGGGTTCACAACGACCTCGTAGAGCCAACTTTGGAGGAAACACCCCACCTCTTTCCAATAGCTCCCCCACAGATGTGTTAGTGTTTTACTTGACTACCTAACGGTCAGCCTAATATCACGACGCTCAAAAGCACAACGGATCAATTCAAATGCCTTAATCAGCGCACTGAAATGCCAGCACTGCAGTACCAATTGACAGTGTGGGGTGGACACACTAACCACCTTGGTGGGGCTGAAGCCTATCTAAAGCCTCTGCCGTTCTTTGGGTCCCGACACCCGGCTGCAATACAACTCCTCATTGAACCATTACTGTTTCTAACCGCATTCGGGCGTTAAACCACAAACACCATGAAAATTTCCCGAAGGGCCATACCTTAGAACAGACCATAGTAAGTATAGGATACTATGGGGTTCCCTGTTCCCCGTGGTACCAGAATTAAGTCTCTGGTCAGACTTCGAAGCCGAAAGTTCTGCCAGTGGAGCCTCCACACGACTCCAGCACTGGCAGCCTTTGACTGGATACCCCGGGATTGTAAAGCCCGTCATTCCACTTACGTGAAATCCCTTGGGGATTATTTTAATGTTAAGCAAAAAGTAAGTGCTACATAATTTTCCTTGAAGATAATATAGAATTTCACAAATAAAGTAAACTTGAACTTATGCATCATAAATGCAAAATCAATGAAAAAGGCAGGAGACATAGGCACTAAATGCAGTTGGTTCCAACTGTAGTAGCAAAAATGAATGCGAAGGTAAGACAGGTCCACCCAGATCACCCTGGTTAAGTATAGATGATGGCTGGTTATATTGGTACGAAAAGCTAGTTGCCTGTGATGATCCTTATAACTGTACAAGACTGTGATCGATAATATAGCATAAGTCTGAAAGTTACAGGGCGAGCGATTGGATATCTGTTATCCCCAGCGGAACTGACGAAAATCTTTTAGTTGATCTAAGCCAAAATGAGCAAACAGCTTCGGGGAGATAAAGGTGTAAAAAAGGCAATGAAACTCTAGTCAACGTAAAGACATTTTCAGAAACGGAAGAGTTACCAAGCCACCATTATAAGGCTGATTTTTTTACAATAATTAATTTCAAATTATGAAAAAGAATTTCGTAAAAAAAAACGAAAACTGTCCATCGAAATATTTATCCTTAGATATCCCTGAAAGTCTTAAAACGTAAATGTAGTATAGAGCTTACAAGTCGAAATTTTCATGGGTAAGAAGTGCTCGTACACATTGTCGCCAGGTGTGGTAAGTTTAGTGCAACTTTCACTTCAAGTCGGCAGGGGTTATCGTCCTAAAGCGATAAAATTTTATATTTGTATGCGTTAGTTAGGCCAAAAGAAAACCGAACGGAGGGTATGCATAGCGAGTTTTGCAAAAAACGTGTTCCCCTTGTGGTGTGGGACACCTTGCTGTGCATGTAAGAGTATTGAGGTGAGGGAACAAAAGCACCCGTTCACCAACAATTAGGCTTATTATTATCTTTGCTTTGTGATTTAATGTGGCATGACTAAGTAAAGCCGTGTTAGGCCTCCCTTTATATTTATGCTTAGTTGTAAGCGGATCAATTCACACTGACTTTCCAGTAAATTAAATAAAGCTTTTAAATTGCAAGTGCGAAATTGCTACTTAAAAACATACAAACGTAGTTACAGAGAAAGCTTATCTTATGCCAACTAATGGTTTCCTCTTTGATGCGACCATTTACAGATATGAATACTTTCCCGGTTTCTCCGGCGAAGAGGTATGGAATCCTAATACGAATGTTTCAGAAGATTGTCTGTATATAAACGTTTGGGCACCAGCGAAAGCGCGTTTAAGGCATGGACGCGGCGCTAATGGTGGTGAGGTGAGTGTGTTTTTTCTTTGCTTATGCAGCATACATATGTTTTCGATTACTAATATATGTAAATACACCTTATGCTTTCCTATACTACATACATACATATATTTATGTATATACTTAGTAATAGTTGTTAACTCATATTTTATTTATTTTTTCATATGTCCTTCCTACCGATTTCCGTTATAGCACTCCGGTAAAACTGATACGGATCATTTGATACACAACGGAAATCCGCAAAACACCACCAATGGCTTGCCAGTGGTGATTTGGATTTATGGAGGCGGCTTCATGACCGGCACTGCCACACTGGACATTTATAATGCGGACATCATGGCTGCGGTGGGCAATGTAATAGTTGCTTCTTTTCAATATCGTCTGGGCGCTTTTGGCTTCCTACATCTGGCGCCTGCCATGCCCGGTTACGAGGAGGAGGCACCCGGCAATATGGGATTGTGGGATCAGGCATTGGCTATACGTTGGTTGAAGACAAATGCCCATGCCTTTGGTGGCAATCCTGACTGGATGACGCTTTTCGGCGAATCGGCCGGCTCAAGTTCGGTAAATGCGCAACTTGTGTCGCCAGTGACGGCAGGTCTAGTGAAACGTGGCATGTTGCAGTCGGGCACAATGAACGCACCCTGGAGTCATATGACTTCGGAGAAGGCGGTTGAGATAGGCAAAGCGTTGATCAACGATTGTAATTGTAATGCGTCATTGTTATCGGTAAGCATAAAACCACACATATACATATGCATAATTTTAAAAATCCTGAAAAGGAACCAAAGCAGTTTTGCAAAATTACACAAAAAAGCATTTTTTAAGTCGAGAAAGTTTAATTTTTGAAAAAAAAAATAAGACTTTTCAGGTGTTCAAAAACTACAGAAAAGCTACTCAGACCAGTTTCGGTTATATATTTTTCAAACATTTAACTTTTTCGACTTTTTTGAAAAAAAAAATTTCGTCGTAATTTTGCATAACTTTTTTTTTTGTTATCAGGAACTCTGGAATTATTGAAAAGCTAAAAAAATTAAATTTTTCGACCTTTTTGGAAAAAATCCGTGCAATTTTGCACAACCGTTGTTTTCCTTTTCAGAAACCCTAACGCTATTCAAAACACAGAACCGTTTAAATTTTTATATGTTTCAAACATTCAACTGTTTTGAGGAAAACTGTTTTCGACGAAATTTTGCAGAACTTTTTTTTCCTTTTCGGCTGGAAGTATGCCAAAATGAACTGGCGATGTTAAAAATAAATATTTCCAAAGCACTTTTTATTTTCGGTGCCACTGACCTAAAAATAATAAGTGACGTTATAGTTGTGAAAAGCGCTCATTGTTTCACCTTAAAACATATTCTGATAGTCAAATTTCTTTATGTACTCTTGTACAGACAGAACAGTGTTCTCTGACAATAGTTCTCCATTTAACCTAGTGGTTGGTTTATTTATTGTACTTTTCCTTAAATAGCATTTATTTATGATTTTTCTTTTATAAATCGAAAACAACAATTATTTTTGATTTTTTTCTAAATAATCTGCAAATAACAGTCATTTTTTCTTATATTGTATGTCTTAGATAACTATTATTGAAGAATTTTATTTACAAAAGTCATCAATTAAAATCAGTCAGAAACTTTCTTTTAAAAGTCATAAATATAAATCAGTCACTGACTTTAATTTTTTAAGTAATGTCTTTTAAGTTAATGTCTTTTAAATGTAAAAATAGCTGACTGAAATATCTAAGAAATATATTATACAAATCAAAAATAACTGTTACTTGCAGATTATTTAGATAAAAATCAAAAATAATTGTTATTTTGGATTTATAAAATAAAAATCAAAAACAATTTTAATTTTCTTGTAATATTGCATAAAACTTGCAACAAAATTTATCTTCAAATTTGATTCTAGGTGAAAAAAATATCGATTGGTATGTATCTTTTAGTTGTTGAGCATTTTCTTCAAAGTGAATTTTTCGATAACAGTTTTCAACAATAACTGTTATGTTCGGTCCCTGCTTTTTGTAAGTCTACATGAATTACGAGTAACTATAAGCATATTGTTGCGTGTCAAAGAGCTTAATTGTTCGCCTCTCAACATATATGCTAGTCGCACCTAATCCTTGTAAATGCGGGGCAGAGATACAAAAAGTATTCCGCCGTTTCCTCCTCTTCAAAGTAGCGAGAGGAAATGGAGTAGCCCTAAATGGCACGAACATTCAGATGTTTACGCCACTAGAAGTAACCAGTCAATAGTGTCACAAGTTGCGGACAATACCATATGCTCACTGAAAGTCAAGTGCTAGTTAGAAACTTAACGATTGAGGGCAAAATAATTTCATTCTACCTTCGATAGCCGAGTAAAACAAGTTCGTTACGTTTTCCAACGTAATTTGGTCGAGACTTGCACAATCGAACTACTTTGGAAGTCTGTAGTGCTGTGGCCAATACCTTGAGGGGTGTTGTCTAGAAATCTTTATCGACTGAAAATGTATGACCACTTAGTAGCATACCAACATCCATTTCTTGAAAGTCTGCAGGAAGCCTCCTATAAGGTCTCCCTACTTACAAAGTTGCAAAGTGATGGTAATTGGCAGAACATCAAGAGCAGCGTTATGCTTTGTAGGAAAGGCTCCGGGTACAGTACACGGCGACTGTCGTTCGACGTTTCGCATGCAGACTACTTATACTATTTATTAATTGGAAGTCTATGCTTCACCATACCAGTGGTGCATAGTTCACTAAATTTTAAAATCAAACTTGTAAGAAGCTATACAACACTTTTGATATTGATTCGTATTTTTTTTTGGTTCTTCAAGGAAAATCCCCAAGTTGTAATGGCGTGTATGCGTGCTGTCGATGCTAAAACAATTTCAGTGCAACAGTGGAACTCCTATTCGGGCATTCTGAGTTTTCCTTCAGCGCCGACCATAGATGGCGCCTTTTTACCCGATGATCCCATGAAAATGATGGAGACTGCTGATATGCGCGGCTATGACATACTAGTGGGAAATGTCAAAGATGAAGGTAAGCACATTTATTTAAATATCACATCGACCCCTAACCGCCAAAAATATGTGAGCGAAATATTTTTTGACATTTTATTTTTGATGCAGAAATACCTCTGGAGCATCTTGATGCGTTTCGGCATCAAAAATAACATTTTGGAATAAAAGTCGCTTACCTTTTTTTGGCGGTTAGGGCTCGACATTATCAAAAGTACGGTAAATCTCAATACCTCAAAGGCAGAGATCATGGAAAGTACAAAAGAATTTAGTTAAGCAGTGAGGTGCTTAAACTAAAACAATATTTATAAATTCTGGCTAACTTTAAAAAATTTTAAAAATTGATTTGTGTTCGAACGAGCGCCATGTCCTTTGTGCCATATTGTTCATAGCTTTATGATACTTGCTGATGGGGCAGCTGCGTGGGCTAATAAAAATTAAATTAAATTGTATTTTAATGCAGCGAATTATCTGACAGTAAAGATGGTAGGAAGGCGAAGAGTATGGAAGAAAAGTAGAATATCCTTATATACTTCTAACATAAAGCTTGCACGATAAGGGATCGTAAAAAAAAAATAAATAAAAAAATATTGAAACAAAAATTTAACTTTCCCGCAGCGTACTCTACTAAAATAGCAAAATGTATAGCAAAAGTGCATCTAATAAAGCTACAGACTTCCGGACTTAATATCCGCGCCATAAAAGTGCCCCACAAAAAGCCGCAAGTAACAAAAACGCGTAATACCACAATGGAGTTGGTGTTGCTACAAAGTGTGTGGCAGATGCTCTAGTAGTAAGTGCGCTTACAGACACTTCAGCCACGCTCACATTCATACTCGCCTACGAAAAGTTGCAACAATCAGCCTTCCGCCGCCTGCACTTCATTCACTTTGCATGCGCGCGACACAGTTGCCAGTTGCAAGTGGCAACAAACCATATAAATATATATCTGTATGTACATAAATGTACATTCGTATATTCTTCAGTTGCTCCATTTTCCAAAATTACTCTGTTTCCCATTTGGTCGGAGCAAAAGTGGCGGCGAAATAGGTGAAGTATAGTTGTGCAAAAATTGCAGGCGGCGAAAACGTAAGGTCGGTAAGGCAGATGAAAAAAGTGCACTGCTGCTGGAATGCATTGTTGTAAGTTTTGCTCTGACGTCAGAGTTGCCCCAGAAAAACGGGGCGGCGCGCTGGGTAGTGCACTTTTAAGCCCCAACTAAATTGCTAAAGTAAAAGAAAAAGGAGAACACAAAAAAAAAAACAAATATAAAAAAATTGGCTATAAAATAAGCTTGCCGCTGATAGCTTCTCTGCTTGACTGGTTGACAAGCTAACGAGGCAGCCGCGTTATTGTTGTCCTCTTTCTGCAACTATCATCTTTGGCGACCGTCGTCCCCTCACCACCAATGGGTTCACTTGCAGTTTTTGAACGAACTCATTTTTTGTGATATTTTCGTAATGTGATATTTTCGTAGTTTATAGCAGGCACACACAGTATAAAAATTCTACCATTGTACCGTGAGGAAGAAGTGTGGGAAAAGCTGCAGCGAAATGAAATCAATTTATATATATATTGGCGCCACTCACTACTTTATAGAAATAAAAAAAGTTTCACTCGAAAAACACATGTGGTCCTCACCAGAGGCGGCCAAAGGATTTCTATTTAGGGGGGTTCTATGTAAAGTCAGCTAAAAGTTTCCATCAGCTCTAGATTTTGAAAAAAATGAGGTCAAAGTGTCAAAAAATCGCGGTTGATAGAACTGCTCTCTCTCACATTGACTTGATGGTCACTTACTCATTTGTTATATACTTTTATTTGTTATACCCGAGCGCACTTGTGCACAAGGGTATTATAACTTTGTTCACATAACGGTTGTTTGTAACAGGCAAAACGAATCGAGATAGATATAGACAAATGTATACATAAATGATCAGAATGAAAAGAGAAATCGATTAAGCGGTGACTGTCTGTCCGTCCGTCCGTCCGTCCGTCCGTCCGTCCGTCCGTCTGTGCACACGATAACTCGAGTAAAAATTGAGATATCTTAACGAAACTTGGTACGTGAACTTCTTTTGGGCGTGGGACGGATGGTATTGAAAATGGGCGAAATCGGATAATAACCACGCCTACCTCCCATATAACGGTAATTTTAAGAAATACGAAAACGGCGATATTTTAGTAACTACTGAAGATAATTCACTCAAAATTGATATTTGCAATGAGTTTTAGACGAAAAATAAGAATATTACAAAATTTTGGCAAATGGGCGTAGCCACGCCCACTTATGGTTACATGTGTATATCTTGGTAACCGCTACACCAATTTCTTCCAAACTTGGCACAGTTGTTGGTCCTGGTACAGCATACCAACTGGCCAAAAATTTCTAAAATCGGACAATAACCACGCCCAGATCCCATATAACGGTAATTTCGAAAAATACAAAATCTTCGATAAATCAGTAAATATTGAAGCTAATTTATTCAAAATTGATGATTGCAACAATTCTTTACCAAGAAATACGTTTATGACAAAATTTTGGAAAATGGGCGTAGCACCGCCCACTTGTGATCACATATATGTATCTCGCTAACCGTTCTAGCAATTTGTACCAAGCTCGGTATGGTTATTGTGCTTGTCACATAAAAGCAAACCGTTGAAAATTGTTGAAATCGGACTAAAATTGAGGCCGCTTTTCATATAACGGTAAATTTCAGATATGCTTGAAATTTCAATATTTCGAAATTTAAGGACGCTAATTTACTTAAAATGTATACACCCCGGCTTATCATGTAGCGGTAGTTTTCGGAAAGGTGGAAAACATATATTTAATACTTGCGCCGGGTATTTAATGTTCGGTTCCGCCCGAACTTAGACTTTCTTACTTGTTTTTATTTTATTTTAGAAAAAATGAGGAAGAAGTTGCATCAAATTTTTGAACATTTATTATAGGTTTCAGAAAGAAGTGTCATTAAAATTTGTTATTGTGGTACACCGACTGTACATTGAATTCTTGTACAAAAATATTTATTTCCCATGATTCCAGAAAATTATAAAAATTATAAAATATTACAAAATTATTAGGACCAATAGCTGACACAATACAAATAAGCCACAATACTCGCTAGTATAAATTTTTTTTATTTGGAACGTTTCATAAAGAATAATAAGCATTCAAAAGCTAAATAAAATTATAGTTTAAAAAACTAGAACCTCCCTATTATTATAATTGCCATTCGTACTGTCATTAAGTATGTAACTTGTGAATAGAAATCGCTGCATCTTTTAGGCGCATCAATATTACATAGTTACATCCCGATCTAATAAAAGGAAGCTAATAAAAAAAGGATCAGTCCAGCGCCTTCATCTTGACCGACATGCAGGCTGTGTCGGAGCCACAGCCGCTAAAGTTAAACGTAGAATACGTGATATTATTAAGATTACATTCAAGTTAAAAACGGTACATGAAACATTCGTTTTGATCGTATTGAATTGAATTTAATAAATCAATATGAATTGCAAAGTTTTAATACTTAGCAATAGAGAAGCTTGCGTCTGATATTGTTATACCTACATATTTCATGTGCCTGATGGATTAAGTTAAACTTTATTCTTTAAATACGTGACAACGCTCCTAAACACAGTTCAGAAATAAAGCCTTTTTAGACCCATTTGATCTGATACCTATATTTTTAATAATAGACAAATACGTAATTAATTTAAAAGCCTTCAGGTGATTCCTAGAGGTTCCGGGTTGAGCTTTTTCGACCAACAATGTCGAAATTACACCAACGTCTTTTTTTTTGCATTTCTTTTTTTAAGTATATATTAGAAAAATTCTACATTATGCTTTATTTAAAATGATTTTAAATGTTATTATTATTAGATATTAAATGATATATTGATATAAATGATGATTTCGTATTTTTCTCAGCTTTAATATTATCGTGTACCATGGTTTTTCAATCAATGACAGACTTTTTGAGCCCTTTAAAAAGGTTTTCAATAAAAAACAGTTCAGAAATAAAAAATTGGGTTTCATGGTCGTAAAAGCTGAAAATTTAAAATAATAATTTCAATTTCAACATATCGAGCCCTAACCGCCAAAAAACGTAAGCGACATTTTTCTCAAAATTTTCTTTTTGATGCAGAAATGCATCTAGATGGTCTAGGAATATTTCTGCATCAAAAAGAAAATTTTGAAAAAAGTGTCGCTTACGTTATTTTGGCGGTTAGGGCTCGATATTTCCTATTAAAAAATCAAAATTTTCAACCCGGAACCATTCGGAATTTCCGGATCCGGAAAAAAAATTTCATATTTATTTTCCTTGCCAACCTCATGTTTTTTCGTGCGAAAACTTTCGGTTTTTGAAAATCGACCAAAAAAGGCCACTCTAATGTATGTATATACATATACGGATGTACAATGTACATATCTATAATATGTATGTAGCAGAGTTGTGAAAAATGCATAAATTTTTTAGTGAATTAATAGTATTTAAAGCAATAATGTTAATGTAAAAAATTAATGCATTAATTTTTGAAATGTAATGCAAATGAAAACTTGAATGCATTAATTCTGAAAAATGTAATGCTAATGAAATTGTTTTTTCAATAAATTATCCAAGCTAATGCTACTTGAAAAATTTTAATGCACTAAAATGTTTAATACTTTTGCTCGTTTGCATTATTAAAAACCATTAAATTTTTTTTCTAATGAAATATAATAACCTCTTTTGGAAGGACTTGGAATACTTACTGATAGTTTTTTCAGCTTCATTATATTATGTGTATTTGTAGAAAAATTTTTCTAAACATTGTTAGATGTTTTATGAAAATAAAAGCCAATGTGCATGCAACTTAGGGCGCTTTTGTTGATTTTTATGATGTTTGTTGATGCATACCGATTTGCCAATTTGGCAGCGCATGTACACGACTGAGGACCTACTCTGATCTAAATCAATCAATAAACCGTTTTTTAGTTCCATTAGACAATGTGTTTTTACCTATTTAACGACAAAT